TGCAATGGCGCGATCTCGGCTCACCGCAACCTCCGCCTCCTGGGTTCAGGCAATTCTCCTGCCTCAGCCTCCTGAGTAGCTGGGATTACAGGCACGCGCCACCATGCCCAGCTAATTTTTTTGTAGTTTCAGTAGAGACGGGGTTTCACCATGTTGACCAGGATGGTCTCGATCTCTTGACCTCATGATCCACCCACCTTGGCCTCCCAAAGTGCTGGGATTACAGGCTTGAGCCACTGCGCCCGGCCCAAATCGTTCTGTTTTAAGTTCTTTGAGAAATCTCCAAACTGCTTTCCACAGTGGCTGAACTAATTTACATTCCCACCAATGGTGTAAGCGTTCCCTTCTCTGTAGCCTCACCAACATCTGCTTTTTTTTTCTTTTTGACTTTTTAATAACTGCTATTCTGATTGGTATGAGACGGTATCACATTGTGGTTTTGATTTGCATTTCTCTGATGATCAGTGATGTGGAGCATTTTTCCATAAGTTTTTTGACTGCTTTGTCTTCTTTTGAGAAGTGTCTGTTCATGTCTTTTGCCCATTTTTAAATGGGGTTATTTGTTTTTTGCTTATTCAAATGTTTCAGCTCCTTATAGATTCTGGATATTAGATCTCTGTTGAATGTAAAGTTGGCAAATATTTTTTCCCATTCTGTGCTTTGCCTAGCTAAGTCTTACTGAACCTTGAAGTCTCAGCTTAAATCATGACTTCCTCATCACAGAGGTCTTCCTGATTTTCCACACCAGGCACCATGTGGTATATAAAATAACACCTTATCTCTCAGACCCAGGCAAGAAAGCCCCCTGCCCTGAACTTAATGCTTTAGAAGGCATCATATAGTATAACCGCAAAGGAAATAAATCCATTAAAAACACAGAGCTGTTTCTGTCCCTTGGGACTCAGTGCTCAGTGTTGGCATAGAACAACCAGTAACACTGAACACACACTCCTGAGTCTAATACAGCTCAGGTCCCAGGGGATCACTTCTTTATATATCTTGCTCTGTCTTATTTATGTAAGTTGATAAACACTGTATGTATTTATTATGTACATGATGTTTTGAAATATGTATACACTAACAATATGGAGAGCTTCATTTGTGTTATCCTTGTGCAATTGTGTTGTTTTAATTGGAAAATTGTATTGTTCTAATTTTAGTATATGTGCTACCTAAGTAAACACACTTTATGTCTTTAGAAAAAAAGATAACTGTGTCTGGATGCCCTGAAGATTTGTGGGTTGCATTGCCATGAACTTTGGAGGCCGCCATGGTTTTGGAGTACGGGCAGGAATTGAGCCATCAAAGTGCTTAGCTAAGAGAAAAGAAAATTAACTTGTCAAATCCTTCCTCTTAGATAGTATGGTTGTAGTTGATTCTCTTTTTTTGAGACGGAGTCTTGCTCTATTGCCCAGGCTGGGGTGCAGTTGCGCGATCTTGGCACACTGCAATCTCTCTCTCCCAGGTTCAAGTGATTCTCGTGCCTCAGCCTCCTGAGTAGCTGGGATTACAGATGCGCACCACCCTGCCTGGCTGATTTTTCTATTTTTAGCAGAGATGGGGTTTCACCATGTTGGTCAGCTGGTCTCAAATCCTGACTTCAAGTAATCCAGCTGCCTCAACCTCCCAAAGTGCTGGAATTACAGGCGTGAGCCACTGCACACAGCCTGTAGTGAATTCTTTCTTTCTTCTTTTTTTTTTTGAGACAGAGTCTTGCTCTGTTGCCCAGGCTGGAGTGCAGTGGCATCATCTCAACTCAAATCACCCATTCAAGTGATTCTCCTGCCTCAGCTTCCCGAGTAGCTGGGATTACAGGTGCCTGCCACCACGCCCCGCTAATTTTTGTATTTTTGGTAGAGACGGGGTTTCGCCATCTTGGCCAGGCTGGTCTTGACCTCCTGACCTCAGGTGATCCACCTGCCTCAGCCTCCCAAAGTGCTGGGATTATAGGCTTAAACCACTGCGCCTGGCTGGGTAGTAGATTCTTGCATGACATATTATCTACCAGTAGTGCTAAGTGTCCATTTTCTTGCTCTGTTTCGAGTTCCAATTTCTGGTCCTGGAGGTACCCATGAATTAGGGTAGTGTTTGCAACATTACAGGCGGTTGCTAGGAACATTTTGTAGTATTAAATAATTTATATTATTCTTAAATTTTTATATTTGTACCTCCAGATACAACATGTAAAACATGATATTGATTCTTTTTATTGACATTAGATGGACACTGAATACTAGAATTGCAAGTAGGTTTGTTTTTATAAAAATATTTAATTAGGCCAGGTGCAGTGGCTAACACCTGTAATCCCAGCACTTTGGGAGGCCCAAAGTGGGAGGATCGCTTGAGCCCAGGAGTTTGAGACCAGCCTCAGCAACATAGGGAGGCCCTGTCTCTATGAAAAAATAGAAAAAAATTAGCCAGGTGTGGTGGCATGCACCTGTGGTCTTAGCTATTCAGGAGGCTGAGGTGGGAGGGTCTCTTAAGCCTGAGAAGTTGAGGCTGCAGTGAGCCGTGATCTCATCACTGCACTCCATCCTGGGTGACAGAACAAGACCCCATCTTAAGAAAAAGACAAAACAAAACAAAAAACAATGCTCTTTGATTAGATTTCAATTTTCAAAAAAACATTTAATGAAATGTTCAGCTCTCAAGTAGGAACTTTGTCTTCTACTGTCTCCCTTAAATAAAACGAATACTGGGTTTAGGATGGCCATGCTTTTAGCAACCCAGATTCACAATCAAGGGATTCCAGCCAAACGTTACTCCTCTCTTTTCCCATTCTCTTTGCTTATGAATATTTTGTCTTCCTTCTTGCCTTAGGTAGTGAGGTGTAAAAAGCTTGAGCTAAGTCCTTGACAGGGGTGTAGGATGTACCTGTGATTATCTGTTGGAGCTCTTTCACTGGAGGATTTGGGAAGTGGTAGATGGATGGGGATGGGGTGGAGGAAAGTCACTGATTTGTTGCCTCATCCCTTCCAGAGTCTTTTTATTTGTTTTTTGAGATGATGGTCTCACTCTATTGCCCAGGCTAGTCTCAAACTCCTGGCCTCAAGCGATCCTCCTGCCTCCACCTTCCAAAGTGCTGGGATTACAGGCAAGAGCTACTGCACCAAGCCCCAACCAGTCTGGAGGCTCCTGTTTCTCCAGCCAGGCCAGGCACTTTGAGCTGCTCTCTTCAGAAGCCCTCAGAGGCCACTGGGCTGTAACATCTGTGTTAGTGGAGCCAGGATTTGTAGCAGCTCCCTCTCGTGGGCTTCCTACCCACTCTGGGGCTTCTTTTCTGCAGCTGGAAGAGGGTCATGAGACTAGATGAGGACGGAGTCTGCGGTTCACTCTTCCCCCAGTTGCTCCATGATCATTAGAGACCTGGTTGTTCCCAAACTCAGAGAAAAGGGAAAAGAGCTGAACCCAGAAGCTGGCTGGTAAGAAATGCTGGCAGACAGCAGGAGAGGTGTGAATAGGGGGAGGTCAGCCAGAGGAACACAGAGAGCTAGAGCTAAGAACCAAGTCCAACAGTAGAATAGCCTTTGTCGTTGACATCTCTCTGGATGAGAATGAGTGAGACACACACCACAGGTTCTTGGGGCAGACAGTGCAGTGCAATTGACAAAGCACTCAGCTTGGGGATTTTTGACCTGCATTTCAACGCTGGGGCTGCCCCTTAAGAACTCTGTCAAGTGACTTCTCTGAGTCTCAGTTTCCTCTTCAGTAGTTTTAGCACAGGCTTTGGATTCAGATAGACTCTGCTCCTGGCACCTGCATGACCTTGGACAAGTTGCTTAACCTAAGAGTCTCAGTTGCCTCATCTGTAAAATGAACAATAACACCTTAGAGTTGTTGCCAGGAGTAAATATGATAATTGACGGGAAGTAGATCCTATTGGTAATGTAGGATTGCAGAGTAACAGTGAGTTTGCAGCAGGTAACATGGGTTTGAGCTGGCTGCCCGCAGCTGAATGTATAACGTCTCTGAGAACCAATTCCTTCTGTGTAAGAAGGGGTCACAATGCCTTCTTTGCAGGGTCCTTGTGGGGCTCTGGTGAGATAAGATGTAGGAAAGCATTCTGTACAGCTCTGTACAAATGTGAAGGATTATTTTTGTTCTTCAGCTCGCCCTCTAACAAAGGCTGAATAAGTACTGAATTGGCCAAAAAAGGGAGGGCAAAGGAAGGAATGTGAATCTTAGGGGGAGTAGCAAGAAAGCTGGAATAATCCCCACACTGTGTTTCCAACACTTTTCATGAAGCTGGAGCTCCAGGGAATAGCACACCTCCAGGGAGGGAGGTGAGAGACTGAGGGCTGAGGACGAAGTGGGCTATGAGGAGAGGAAAAAGGGGCCCACTGCTGTCAAAGCCCGGGAGAACATGGAAGGTCCTTGTCTGGTAAGGAAAAGAAGAGGGTGTCTCTCAAGTCCCAGCTCCCCTTGTGTTTCCTCTGCGAGCCAGACTCTCTTGTGATCCACAAAGCACAGCTCCCAGCTTTGAGCCAAGAAATGCTGCCTTCCAATGCCCCCCACCTGGCAGCTACTGAGCAGATTCAAATATGCTCAGGGTTGGAGCTTAGAGAAAAAAGACAGGAATTCTGCTGTCCCCAGTGGAGGCTAGTTTGTGCCTCCTCATACCCCACCAGACAGGGCAGAGCCCTTCAATCCAGCCTCCCCCTCCTCTTCCACCCGAATGCCCTCCACTTTCCCTTGATCTGCCTGAACCAGGACAGGATGCCAGGGCCACGGCCCTGCTGATCCTGAGCCCCACCGAGAGCCCTTCCCTTGGGAGCTCAGCCCATGGGATGTGCCAGGGAAATGTTTCCACAGATTAGTGCCTCCTGGGGTGAGACAGTAGCAGCAGGTGGCAGGAACAGGGCAGGGAAGGAACAAAGCCCGGGGAGCCCTTGGGAGGAGCCCAAGGACAGAGGCTTTCTTTTCTAGTCTCTGGCCTCCAGAACCAGGAGGTTTGGGGTTCCTCCAAAGCCAAGCCTCAGTTCCACCCCTCAGTGATCAGCTGGTGAGGCATAGATCACTTTATGTGACTAATTGTGGTGACAATCATGGTAGCATCACAGTTTAGGTAAGCCCAGCTCCAGAAGTAGAATAAATTGGAGAGCAGGGGGAGAGATGCAGGGGAGAGAGGAGAGATGAAGAGACAGCTCACAAGTCTCTTCAAGAAGAGAGGAGAATACAAAGGGAAAGAAAGTTCTAGCAAGAAATATATAAGCCCTGGAGAAAGCATCCTAGCAAGAGTGCCCCAAATTAAAGACTCCTATCAGGCAACACCTGGTCAGATTTTTTCAAATCTACATTTGTTAAGTCAAGCCTGGAGGGCGAAGCAGTGAAACAACCAGCGTAAGACAGGTAATAGACAAGAGGGCAGCAAATGCCACTGGATCAAGGGATGCAGATGTCGGGAGAAAGGGAGAAGCCAGATTTCTGCTGACTTTACCTTACCCCTGGCCTTGTTCTTGGGTGAGTTTAAGAGTGAGCAAGACAGATGAGCAATGTTTTACAATGTGATTTTGATCAAAAGTTTCATCAACACTGGGTTTACCCCCTTGGGTTAGTCCCGGCCCAGGGTCGAGCATGCCTATCCCAGTGGGCCCTTTGACCTCACAGTTTGTGCTGGTGAGAAACTGGCTCCTTGTCTGTGTCAGCATTCTGGATCAACTCAAAGAAGAATTTCACTTGGTTCTCATAGGCTTGGACTGAGATTTTCTCGTTGATTCCATATATGCTGAGGAAAGTAAGGTACATTTGGGGAAGGAAGGAAGGACCAAGTGCCACAGCTTGAGTGTTATTGCAAAGCACTTTCCTTGCTTCCCTCGCCAACCCAGAAACTACTGGCCCTCCAGGGCTAGGAAACAGGCAAGGGAGGGGCCATCTGAAGTTTCATATGACATCCTGGTCATTTCTCAGGGATCTATCCATGGTCGTGTTAAAAAACAGTGTGGAATAAACTCTTGGGGAGTCCAAAATCATCTCCCACTCTGAAATCCATTCAATCATTTGTCCTCCAGGAGAATTATATTTTTTTCTTGAGACAGGTTCTCACTCTGTAGCCCAGGCTAGAGTGCAGTGATGTAATCATAGCTCACTGCAGCCTTGCAGTGGGAGCTGACAGACTTGTGCTCTTCTCTTAAGATATTTATGGGAGGATGATTTGAGCTAGCACAGAAGCGAGAAAAGACTGACAGGGTGTACAGCCTCCGTGACCGGTCACACCAGAGGGGTTCTTCTCCCTCGGTTATTTCCAGGATCTCAGGCCTGAGGCCTACTTTCCACAGGAACTGGATGCAAGGTACTACAACTCCTTTATCAGGAGGAGAGGCTCTTGCTCCAAGCCTACCATACGGCATATGCTCTTTCAGGCAGGGACGCCACTGCCTGGGTCTGTGGTTCTTGTCCTGGTCTGGCTGTTTTCCCATGTACTGCTTCTGTTCTGTGACTGCTCTAGGCATTCCTTCTACTACTAACTACTATATGGTTATGTAGAAGGATTATATAAATCAGCACTAAATGTGTCAGTACAGCTCTGGCTACAATACTTATATGATTATATAGAAAGATTATATGGAACTAAGTAGGATTATATATATATATATATATATATATATATATATATATGTTAGATATAAGTAAGCAGTGAGTTATACTTCGGGCACTAATTGTGCCTGGGGTCTGCACAGCTCTCCCTCCTCGGTGCCCATGGGGGCTGTTACCCACACAGCCTCAACCTTCTGGTTCAACTGCTCCTCCCCCCTCAGCTCCTGAGTAGCTGGGACCACAGGTGTCTGGCTAATTATTATTTTTCTTTGTTTCTAAATTTTTTTTCTTGAAGAGATGGAGTCTCGTTATGTTGCCCAGGCTGGTCTCAAACTTCTAAGCTCAAGCGATCCTCTTGCCTCGGCCTTCCAAAGTATTGGGATTATATGTGTGAGTCACCACACTTGGACAAGAACTATCTTTCCATTTCTCTTTCTCTTAGGACAGAGTGCCTAGCTAGACTTATCTCTAAGCCAGTTCCCTACTCTCCCACTTTCTAGGGCTAATAGAAGGTAGGGAAGGCAACTGTCCAGGGTACCTACTCATTTTTCTGTGGCACCCAGGGAACTTTGCTATCAGACCTCACATCCACCAGCCTGCCTCCCCACAGTGAAACAGAGCCAAACAAAACAAACAAGGACCAAACTATCCATGTAATCTCAAAGATGAAAGGAAACACAGGGTACCTACTTACCTCCCATTTAAAAACAAAATCATGAAAGCTGTTCTTAAGCTCCTATTCAAATAGTTTTGCTGTGTCTACAGAGCACTTAGGATGGGGAAATCAGGTTTGGATGTGGTAAGCAGCAGAGAGGCAAATGGAAATCATCCTCCCCTGCCCCAGGATTAAAAATTTGCTGAAGAACCCACAAAAATAGTAATTCACACAGAGCAGTTAAAATCGGTGGTCACGTCTTGGATTTCCATAGTGCTTTCTTCTGAGAAGTCAAAGCACGCACCCACCTTTGACCTCATGTCAGTGAAGAAAATGGGGTCCAGAGCATAAGCTCTCTCCCAAAGAGAGGAAGAGCTGGGATTAGCACCCAAGGGTACCGATTCCACCAGGTTTTCCCCAGTCACCCAATTATCTCCTTCTTTGTAAAAGAGGGGCCAATTTCCACAAATTCTAGGGGGTGGCAAGACTCTGGCAATGAGGATGGTAGATGGGTTAGGTTCTACAATGTCTCCATTTCACTTTGCCAAATCCAGGCTTTCCCCGATCCTGTGAACTGTCGGGAGCGTGGGGTGGGAAAGGGACATATCAAGTGTATTTCTCTTTCCCACCTGCTGCTCAAACCTGTTCCACTCACCTTCTGAAGGCTTCAGGCTGTAGGTGGATGGCGCTGAACTTGTAGATGCCAGTGGTGAGGTTTGTAAAGTGTCGGCTGTCTGTGTTGCTGATACAGACACCTAGAGAGGGAAGATCAACAGGAAAGGGGCTTTACATGAGCAACCAAACCAAGCAAGTGGCAGCTTGGTGGCCTGGCTGGAAAATTAGGACTACTGGGTCTTTACAGAGCAAGGCTTGGGCTCTCCTGAAAGCCTATAGCTATCCTTATGAAAAGCACCATTTATTTCAGCCAGGAACATGGATTCTCCAAGGGCATTGGTGAGCCAACCCTTGGATGGACCATTCAAAGGATGGCTTACCAATGCCCTTGGAAGTGTCCTCTCCCCATGGCGAGCAGGGAGGCCAATATGTTCATTTCATAACCAAGGCCATGACCATTTGCTATTTAAGAAACCAGAATCTAGATAGCACTCTTTATCACTTGACCTTTATTCTGTATCACTCTAAATAAATGTCCTCGGTCAGAAATAAATACCCTCAGGAGAACTTTACTATTATAAAATGCAATCCTCTTGAATTGGAAAAAAAAATGCCTGTTATTCTCATTCTCTGAAGGGTGACTCTGTCTTCCTAGGGTCAAACCTCAGGTCTGGAAAGTGCCAGGATACTGTCTTTCCAGTCTCCCACTCTCCTGAGGTGGTAGCAGGTCACCTAGCAGGGGCTGGGACTTGTGCCCACAGCTGTGTTCTTTGGGAAAAGACACTGGGAGCATCAGTTCAAGTGTGTGGGGTTATTCAAGATGGTGATTTGTGTTTTGTTCCATTTTCCACTCCTGGTTTCAAATGGACATCCAGGACCTTCACAGTTCCTTGCTTTGTGGCTGATTTCTGCCTATCTTTTTTCTGTAAAAGCCTGGCCCATTGGAGGATTACAGTAAGTGCTCCAGAAGACAGAGAGTAGAGTAGGTAGCCTTTGAGGGCCAAGAGAGGAGAATCTGGGACTGTGAGGGCTGGGTTCCTGGGTGTTTGGAGGAATCTCTGATTAAACCAAGAGAAAAGAAAACTAGACACAGGCATTAATATTAGAGCATTAATAATTGAGCAATATCATTATTATTGAGCAATATCTTAAGATTAGAGCAACAGTCATTTACCAGAGATTCTCAAACTGTGGTCAGTCATCACCTTGTATTAGAATCACCTGAGAGTATCTGTGAAAAAGGCAAATTCCAGGGTCCCTTGCAGATTTGGTTAACCCAAATCTTTGCTGTGGGTCCAGGTAATCTGTATTTTAATAGTTTCCTGGAGGCTTCTTAGATTGGAGAACCACTGTGTGCAAAGCACAGATTTGGATGGTGTGCTAGAAGCCTGCAGAAGGGGTACAGAGGGGTGGTGCTGGGATTGGTCTGGTCTGTGAGGCATAAATTAGGTTAAGGCAAAGGGTGTGGGCTGGGAGGCTTTTCTGAGCTGAGGATTCTGAGCTCTGCTGCTGAGTTGTTATCCTAGAGTGGATCAGAACCAGACACGGGGAAGATCTGGGCCCCTTCTGTGGCCCCTAGAGAGGAGGCAGTAGTCTAAGCCAATCCTCCCCTCTATGCCAGAGTGGCTGGCCTAGGTTAAGCAAGGACCCAGGCTTGACTGACCTAATTTATTGTTTCTGTTCCTTTCCTGTTTGCGTTCTCACTTCCACTCTGAGGGGAAAATACAGTTCCAGTCCCATCAGGAGGGGAAGCAGCCAGCTGTTTCCAGGCTGAACATCTGGGGTGGGGGTGGGGAAGTAGACACTGGATAGGAAACAGTTCCAGCCCCCTCCTCCCTCCAGCCACAGCTGATGAAGTCATTACCTGGGGTGATAGTATTGACTTCCGGGAAGACAGACTGTGTGGTCTGGAGGAGCAGCTGGTAGCCCAAGGCCTTGTCATCATAAGGGCTGATGGGGAGGGGATCAAAGGCACTCAACACATGGAATTGAACTCTCTCATCAGCCACAATCTTCTTGGTGAGTTCTAGGACCTCCAGGGTAGAAACAAAGGAGGGTCGATTTCTCATTGATTTGCTATACAAGCACAATATTAACTTAAGTATCCTGATTTCTCTCCAGCAAGGCAGAGCCCCGGGGGTTTACAGAGAGGACTCATTGTTTTACGCACTGGGACTTCAATTTCAGCTGACTGGCTGAAATTATAGGTGATGTAAGAGCTGGGTCTTCCTGGAAAGCAATCTACAGCTTGATAAATTTAGGTTAAATGCATTGGGAGACTTGTCTTACAGTCATGAATCAGGTGGGGAATTGGAAAATCAGGAAGTTATGCATCTTTCCCCTTGGATGGTGAGCCACAGGCTGGATGAGTGTTGAACGGACAGCCGAAGGTCAATCATCTCGAGGCTGGGGGATAGATGTGATGACCTGATTTCAGCCTCAGAGATTCTCAGACAGATGATAAAAGGGTCACACACTTTTCTTTCCCCTCTCTGGGCATTCCGGCTTCCTGTTTATAACCAACTGTACTGGAGCCAGGAAGATGAGCTCAACACAGACAAACAGAAGTTGTGGTACTGGTATTCAAGTTTTCTCTCTTTGCCTCCTTTCCTCAGGAAGGCACCTGAGGAAACTTCTAGAAAATTCAGTCTGAAATGACTAGAGTGAATCCAGAAAAATTCCTGGCCCCGGTCAGGAAGCAGACCAGACCCTGAGGATTAGGTCACATACAGCCATGTAGGAATGGACCAGGAGACTGGCTTAGAGGGACCTCCACTTCTCCAAAGCCCCAGCACTAGTCCCAAACCATTTGTTCAGTAGTTGCTTTAAAACTGCCTCTGCTCTAGAAAAAGGGTTGTCCCATAGCTGCAGATCACCTGAATGAGAGACATTATCTTAAGAGTAACTTTTTTTTTTTGAGACAGGATCTTACTCTGTTGCCCAGGCTGGAGTGCAATGGTGTGATCTCAGCTCACTGCAATCTCTGCCTCCCAGGTTCAAGTGATTCTCCTGCCTCAGCCTCCCAAGCAGCTGGGATTACAGGCATGTGCCACCACACCTGGCTAATTTTTTTTTTTTTTTTTTTTTTTTTTGAGACGGAGTTTCGCTCTTGTTACCCAGGCTGGAGTGCAATGGCGTGATCTCGGCTCACCGCAACCTCCGCCTCCTGGGTTCAGGCAATTCTCCTGCCTCAGCCTCCTGAGTAGCTGGGATTACAGGCACGTGCTACCATGCCCAGCTAATTTTTTTTGTATTTTTAGTAGAGACGGGGTTTCACCATGTTGACCAGGATGGTCTTGATCTCTTGACCTCGTGATCCACCTGCCTCGGCCTCCCAAAGTGCTGGGATTACAGGCTTGAGCCACCACGCCCGGCCAATTTTTGTATTTTTAGTAGAGATGGGGTTTCACCATGTTGGTCAGGCTGGTCTCAAACTCCTGACCTCAAGTGATCTGCCTGCCTTGGCCTTCCAAAGTGTTGGGATCCCAGGCGTAAGCCATCATGCCTGGCCAAGAGTATGTTTTTTTTTTGGAGACATAGTCTCGCTCTGTGGCCCAGGCTGGAGTGCAGTGGCGCCATCTTGGCTCATTGCAATCTCTGCCTCCTGGGTTTAAGCAATTATCCCGCCTTAGCCTCCCAAGTAGCGGGGACTATAAGCATGTGCCACCATGTGTGGCTAATTTTTGTATTTTTAGTAGAGACAGGGTTTTGTCATGTTCGTCAGGCTGGTCTTGAAACTCCTAACCTCAGGTGATCCACCAGCCTCAGTCTCCCAAAATGCTAGGATTACAGGCATGAATCACCATGTCCGGCCCCAAGGGTACCCTCTTATATGCCAGAAGAATGTTAGGAGCTGAGTCTGGAAAGGAAGTGAAGGTTCCTGCCGTTGAATGGGCGAAGGAGTTCATCAAAGTGTATTCTCACTTCTCAGAGCATGTTTTCACTCTAGCACTTATAATACAAATATCCTAATACAAGAATTAATGCACAGCCTTGACATATTCTCAGCCCATTGGCAAGTTTCTGAAGCCAGCCTCCATGAGGTGGGTTGGGACTGTGCCCACTACCCCAAATTCCTTAGAGGTCCTGTCTCCAGAAATTGAAGAAGGCATGCAGATTGGAGCCCTGCAGTGAGGCCACAAGAGCTCAGATTTCCCACTAGCTGCCAGGCCAGGCCCTGACTCAAGGGCACAGACTGTGTCTATCTCATTTCCGCATTTCCAGTAGCAAGCACATAAAAGGCATGCAATAAATCTTGGATACATAAAATTCAAAAGATGTGAACAAATAAAAATAAGAATAGGCGTTGCTTTGTTTAACAACCACTGTGGGTTATATAGTTAGTATTGTCAGGTTGGGTATCTGTCTGACTTTATAGGAACAATGCTTTACTGCTTCCTAAGTACATACACTTTGAGGTGGTGTGGACTAGAACGTGAGAGGAGGTGTTCATTTGAGATGGATTCCTTAGTGGTATGAATGTTTAGCTTGAGTTTCAAGGAAGGATATGAAACTGACGAAGAAGAGGCAACAGGTCATCTGAGCAAGGAGAGGGGCAGGCAGAAAAATTGAGATATGACAACCAACTTTGTGCCTCGGGTAGTCACTCACCATTGTGTGAATTTGGACAAGCTCCTTAACTTCTCTGTGCCTCAGGCTGCCCATCTGTTAACATGTAGATGATGGTAGCACCTACCTCATAAGTGGTGGTGACCTTTACTAGAGTTAATATGTGTAATGTGCTTAGGGCAGTGCCTGGCACATGGTAAGCACTCAAAAAATGTTAGCTGGTTATTTGCTTGTTTAGAATAGAATTCTTGGGCAAGAATCAGAGGTACAAGAATGGGACTAGGGAGAGGGACTTGTCAATGGTGAGAGACCTCAAAGGTGAATTTAGAGCACATGAATCTCTCATTTCTCTGATCTCCTATAGTTCTTACAGTGCATTCCCACAACATTATGTTCTGTTTTATGTGTAGAGATATTTTCCTGTAAGTGAATGGTACAGCTGCTAAAGGCAAGGACAATGGATACTTAAAAACAGGTAAGGTCTTTAGAGTTAGCAAGTCCAGCTTCTGGCCCGCGGTAAGGCTGCTTCTAGAAAACTCACAACAGGCTGTCTTCCCACCTGCTAGAATATTTCCAGTGGCAGAAAGCTCGTCACTGCATGCCATATACCATTCAATTTTTGAGCAATTCAGTTATAAATGCCTTCCTTATAATGAACTCAGATATGGTGTCACGTAATATCTAACCCCCTCCTTCTTTTTTGAGACAGGGACTTGCTCTGACACCCAGGCTGGAATGCAGTGGTGTGATCATAGCTCACTGTAACTTCCAACTCCTGGAATCAAGAGATCCTCCTGGCTCAGCTTCCTGTGAGTAGCTGGGAGTATAGGAGTGTGCCTGGTGAATTTTTATTTTTATTTGTAGACATAGGGTCTTGCTGTGTTGTCCAGGCTAGTCTTGAACTCCTGGCCTCAAGCAATCCTCCGGCCTCAGGCTCCCAGAGCACTGGGATTATAGAATAAACTCCACAGGAAGTAATATAGTACTGGATGCATCACAAACACACAGCACATTCTTACCTGTCAAAATTAGAGGACATCTGTACTGCTCCCTACTTTGTGCTCTTACTGCCTGGATGCAATTGCCAGGTCTTTGCTCCTCCTCAGAGAGGGCTTCACTGACCATTGCATTTAAAGGAGCTCACTGCTCTACCCCTCCCCCACAACTACTCTGTGACACAGCATCCTATTATTTTCTTTGTGGTATTTACCACTTAAAAAAATCACCTTGCTTACTGCTGTCTCATCGCTAGACTGTAAGCACCATTAGAATGGGAATCCTGTCCGTCTTATTCGCCATTCTCACAAATGCTTAGGAGAATGTCTAGTCCACCGTAGCTACCAGCAGACACTTGAATGAATAAATGAAGGAAGAAAGGAAAGAGCCTTCTCTTCAACATCCTTATTGAACCCTTTTAGTGATAAGGAGCACAATTACTGTTCAAGATAGCATATTCCAAAACTTTCCCTCGAGTGGAGGCTCCATTAAGCATCTCCTACTTGCCTTCTTTCTACCCCTTCAGGCCCATTCAGGACACATCTTCCTTTAGCATGGTAGCCTCCTCCATTTCTGACGGTTCTTGTTCCTCACAGATAGGTGCTGGAGACCTGTCTCCATCTGAAGTTGAATATGGAGGAGGAGAACTCTGGGGCGGCCTGTGTTCCTGTGGGATCCAGCCTGAGGCTCTGTGCACAGGGAGTGCAGCAGGGAGTGTTCTGGATGCATGGAACTGGGGCCCGAGGGAGAGGAGTAACCAGGACAAATGAGTCCTACAAACTTTTTGAATATGGAGGCTTTCCACTCCTCACAGCGGTACGTGGGCAGGATCGGCCTAGGGGTTCCAGGGGTTTCATCAGAGAGGCCGGAAGGAAGGCCACTATGGCAGGGGAAGAGAGGAGGGAAGAGTGCCATGACCTGGGGAGATGAAAGCCCCAGCTGGGTGGAAAACAGCCCTTGGAAAGGGCATGGAGTCAGAATGAGGCTGGAAAAAAACTGGTGGAAAGAAGCTCAATGAGGGGAATTCAGTGATTTCCTGACCTCATGAGCCCCCAGGGAGGGCACAAAGGTTGGCACCCGATGAAAAGCAGGAGAGCCCAGGGCTCACATTGGTCCTAACTCGCCCCCCTCCTAGGCCCCCTCAGTGCTGGGTGGCTCTGGGCAGGATGTCAACCTGCTCCTCGCTCAACAATGAGGAGTGTGCCTCTCACCTTGCATGAGGCCAAATAAAGTCCTCCCTGGGGAAGAACTTAGGAGAAAGGACCACAGAAGTCCAAGTGCTACTGACCCTCGATGATCTGTGCCACAGAACTGTCCCTAACCATATTCTGGAAGGTCTTACTCATCTGACAGTCACTGGGTTGCCTTTTGGATCTTTTTTTTTTTTAAGCATCGGGTTTACCTTTTTAATTCCGTTTAGCCCAGCCTGATGCTTAAATAAGCTGACATTTACTGTGGATGTCAGACATTCAGTGTAACTTCTACTCACCCTTCGGCTTCATCTCTAATTTTGGTAATCATAAACTAGGGTTGTAGCTAAAAGCACAACAAAAGCACAAACTCTGGAACTAGACTGCTAGATGCATAATCTTGTTATATTATCTAACAAGCACCACGTTGCTCTTCATCACAGCGCTTATCGTGGTTTGCAATGATACATTCATTTGTAAATTGCTGTTTGTAGCAGACCATTGCAAGGCTCTGGCCTCCGCTCTTTTCTCCTAACTCTCTGCACATCCTTCTCATGGGTTTTTATCGACTCTAGAGGTTCCCATTATGTTAATGACACTCCAGCCTCTCCAGACCTGAGACATTTATAATTGCCTATTTCATATAAGAATCTCACACTTCTAAACTATTACATTTCTTCTTGAACTTGTTCTTATTTCTGAATTCCCTTCTTAGTCAAGGGCATTAACTACTTGGTCAACTACCCAGGTTAAAAACCTTGGAGCCACCATGCTTTTCTCTCACTCCACAGCCACAGACACACCACATCCTATTGAACCCACCTCCCTCCTGGCTCTGGTGGGAGAAGCCCTCTTCTCCACCCTGTGACAATGGCCTCAGTTCAGACCTTCATATGCACTCCCTAAGAGGTTGCAATAGCTTCCTGTCCCCTCCTCCAGCACTCCCTCTGCGTTGCTGCTAGCATTACCTCTCTAAAAGGCCGGGTGCGGTGGCTCAAGCCTGTAATCCCAGCACTTTGGGAGGCCGAGGCGGGTGGATCGCGAGGTCAAGAGATCGAGACCATCCTGGTCAACACAGTGAAACCCCGTCTCTACTAAAAAAATACAAAAAATTGGCTGGGCATGGTGGCGCGTGCCTGTAATCCCAGCTACTCAGGAGGCTGAGGCAGGAGAATTGCCTGAACCCAGGAGGCGGAGGTTGCGGTGAGCCGAGATCTCGCCATTGCACTCTAGCCTGGGTAACAAGAGCAAAACTCCGTCCCCCGCCCCCCCCCAAAAAAAACTCAGTATTTGTTTGAAAACCTTTGAAAGTTCTCGCCTGTCACAGATTTCACAGATTAGGGCCCAAACTCCTCAGTATGGCATACAAGACCTAAATCCCTAAACTACAACCCCATTTCCCATCAATTTTCATCTCCTATTACCTTTCCCCAATGTATCCTACTCCTTAGTCACAGTGAATGTCTTACTTCTAGCCAAGTTCTGTCTGTCCTCTAAGGCCTGGTTCAAAATTGTAGTAGTCAGAAAAGACTTTTTTTTTTTTTTTTTTT